CAGGAGACTCGCTTGAGCCCAGGAGTTGGAGGTTGCTGTGAGCTGTGATGCCACGGCACTCTACCCAGGGGGACAGCTTGAGGCTCCGTCTCAAAAATAAAATAGACAAACTAGCCGGGTGTTGTGGCAGGCGCTTGTAGTCCTAGGTGCTAGGGAAACTGAGGCAAGAGCATCACTTGAGCCCAGGAGTTTGAGGTTTGCTGCAAGCTATGAGCCAGGGCACTCTACCGAGGTGGACAAAGTGTCTCCAAAAAAAAAAAAAATTAAAAACCTGTCCTACAAGCGCCTTTGGGAACCCCACATAACAAAGCATGGTTGGATGCTCCTCCGATTCACCAACTACTGTTTTGCTCAAATAAACTCTTCAATGTTTTAATGGCGCCTCCGTTGAACTTTTAACAGAATAAAGAGACCGAGAACTTCAGGTTCCACAGCACCCCCGCCCCACGCACAGAACTCGCACACTAAGTCGTCCTCCTCTGGCCCAGCATCACTGCACAACCCGGGGCAGAGTCACAGGGCTGCCGAGGCAGGCGCAGGGCTGCGGGCAAAGTCACCGTGCAGGGACAACATAGGGCGACCGGCGTCCCAGTTGCCAGCCCTTTACTCTGCGGGTAAAGGGGACTGAGGGTCAAGTCGTGCCATTATTCAGCGGAAGCTGAGGCCCACTCACCCCAGAGCTGACGACGGGGAGGCCCAGGTCCGGCCACAACTGGTTCTAGTGGTTCCCACGAGCCCTTTCCCCATCTCCGGACACTCAGCTCGCAAACTTACCATTTCCTAATTTCCGCGGCGTCCTGGCGTCCTCCCTACAAACCTCCCAGTACTTGCTGGTGACAGGGTGACAGAGACTGTGGTACAGCCACCTGGACTTCCCAGAGGGGAGAAGGAGCTGTGAAAACCGACCTCACCCCTGAACATGCGGGAGAAAGACACAAAGGCCCACAGATCCCGGAAGCAGCCCCCTCCTTTCCGGCTTCGCGCCAGATTAGGCAGGCCCCACCCCCGCACCTCTGATTGGGTAGGGCTCCAGGACCCGCCCCCTCATGCCCTGAGTGACAGGAGACGCGATCCCAGCCGCTAGCGAATGAGTCCAGAAATACCCGCTCTTAGCTTACAAGTTCTGTTTCTTTTCCAGTCTCTTTTTACCTTTTATTTTATTCATTTATTTATTTTTTTGAGACAGAGTCTCAATCTGTCGCCCTGGGTAGAGTGCCATGGTGTCATCATAGCTCACAGCAACCTCCAACTCTTAGGCTCAAGCGATCCTCTTGCCTCAGTTTTTCTGTTTTTAGTAGAGACGTAGTCTAACTATTACTCAGGCTGGTCTTGAACTCCTGAGCTCAAGCAATCCACCTGTCTCGGCCTCTCAAAGTGCTATGATTACAGGCATGAGCCATGGCCCACCCCCGGCCCGAGTATCTTTTTAGTCAGGACTTTGTCCCGGCACTGGAAACCAGCGCCACCTGAGGGACATTCCCATTTAACCTTGTATGTTATGTTATATTCATTCATAAACAATGTATATAACATTTAAAATTGGAAACAATATAATTGATACTGGAATTTTGCTCTTCAGTAGGTTCCTGGTCTGGGTGATTAGAAGAATGAATCCGGACCACAGATCAGTGGTAAGACAGGGTTTATTTACAGAAAAGAATACAGAAGTGCCAGAGCTCCTGGCAGAGAGAGAAAACTCCAGTTAGGAGAGAAAAGTGCTGTCTCTCCCTTTCTGTCTGTCTGTAGGCTCTTTGTCTAGGGGCATATATAGCTGCATGGGGCCCTCAATAGTTATATTTAGCAGAGCTAGGTAGTTACATTTAGCATGTCTGGAACATCTTGTCTGGGACATGTCTGGGGCATATCTGGAGCTTGGTAGTTACATTTAGCGGGGCTTGGTAGTCAAATTTAGGGTGTCTGGGACATGTCTGGGGTCACAAATGAATGGCTACAATCCCTTTCATTCCCAGGCCTAGGACATGGGGACCTCCTGCCCAGCCTTCAGCCTGCTGGTTCCGCTGCTTGCTGCCATGGCACCAACACTGCCAAGGCAGAGGCAGCCGGTCCATGCCCCCCAGCTCCAGGAGCTGGCTGGGCTGCCACTTGTCCTGTATCATAATGACAATTATTTTAAATTTAAGGGCGACGCCTGTGGCTCAGTGAGTAGGGCACAGGCCCCATATACTGAGGGTGGTGGGTTCCAACCTAGCCCTGGCCAATCTGCAACAAAAAATAGCAGGGCATTGTGATGGGTGCCTGCAGTCCCAGCTACTTGGGAGACTGAGGCAAGAGAATCACCCAAACCCAAGAGCTGGAGGTTGCTGTGAGCTGTGACACCACAGCACTCTACCGAGGCCAACAAAGTGAGACTCTGCCTCTAAAATTAATTAATTAATTTAAGATTGCATAACCTTTATGGCCGTTGGTCTTTTGTGAAGGCAGCCCCAGCTTTGAAAAGTGCGGCCATCCTCTCAGGAAGCAAAACTACATGAGCCACATGTCATCTTAAGTTTCCTAGTAGGCTCAGCGCCTGTGGCTCAAATGGTTAAGGCACCAGCCACATACACCTGAGCTGGCGGGTTCAAATCCAGCCTGGGCCCACCAAACAACAATGATGGCTGCAACCCAAAAATAGCCAGGCATTGTGGCAGGCGCCTGTAATCCCAGCTACTTGGGAGGTGG